ACTGGTATTTCTTGAGAAACAGTTCATTGGAAATCAAGCTTTGTCTTATGTTTTTATGCTGGAATGTTAGGTTTCTTATTCATGATTAATTTAACCTAAAGTATATGGTATATATTAGGCTCATTAGCTATTCATTGATGGAATTCAGTGATTTTTTTTTTTTACCTTTTTAGGGAATAAAGTTAGTGAACTTCAGCTGCATTGGTTTCTTTTCCTTGGGATAGTCACTGCATGTCTGGGGCTAATTCACAGAGGCTCTAATTGAGGAAATCTTCCTTACATGGCACAAGGCTCCTTCCCTACCGGACGGGTAGGGAGGGGACGCCTCTTCACCTTCCCCACTCCCCTGAGCTGAGCAGATGAGTCTGAGGTCCCTCTTTTGGGGCTATGAAAATGACTCTTCAGCTTTATTTTAAAAGTGCCAAATTGATGCTCAAGTTTAGCGCTCAGAATATAATTACCCTTCAATGTTATTTTTTTTTTTTTTTGCAGGGGGTGCTACTGGTCCTAGGGCTTAATTGAAGGCCTAGGTACTGTCTCTGAGCTTTTTTGCTCAAGACTAGTACCCTACCACTTGAACCACAGCTCTACTTCCCTTTTTTTTTTTTTTTGGTAGTTAATTTGAAGATAAGAATCTCACAGGGTTGCCTGCCCAAGCTGGCTTTAAACTGCGAGCCTCAGATCTCAGCCTCCTAAGTAACTAGGATTACAAGGCATGAGCCATCAGTGCTTGTCTCTGAGCTGAAATTTACACAGAAAACTTTATCTGGCCTTGATGACAGTTGATCTAGTTGGAATTCTATGTTTTTCTAAACTTTTACAGAAATAACACAGGCTCACAATCCCTTATATATAACACTTGGATCCAGTTGTGTTTCAGAGGCTAATTTTTATGAAGTGAATGGCATAAAACTTTATTTTGGAGCAGATGGAAAAGTGGCTCTGAAGTTAGGACTTAGAGCCTCACATTTGCTAGCTCTTTTGCTTTAGTTACTTCCAGATAAACAATATGTCTTGCCCGGCCAGGCTTCAGAATGCAGTCCTCCTACCTGTGCCTTCGACACAGCTGAAATTACAGGTATGTACCATCATGCCTATCTTGTTTTTTCATTAATTTTTTTGCTCAGGCTAACCTCAAACCATGTTCTTCCTGTCTGTGCCTCCCAAGGAGCTGGGATTACAGGTGTGTGCCACTAGGAAAAAGCTAAATTTTGTGGGGGACAATATTGGAGTTTTGTACTGAGATCCTTGCACTAGCTAGACAAATACCCTGCCACTTGAGCCATATCTCTACCTCCAGGACACAAATTTTTAGTGAAACATTTTGCCAGGGTTGGCAACATCTTGCAATCAGACACTTTAAATACTTGTTAAGCCCTTGAATAGCCCCAGTTAATATTACATCATCAGTACAACAGGATGGGGAGCCACAAGGGCTAAGAGCCCAAGAATGACAAAAATCATGATCAACAGAAAGAAAAAAATGGGAAGTCCTTTGTTTGTGGATCTGACTTTGGAAAAGGTGGGAACTCTTCCACCTATGCCAGTTGACATTTTCTAGATCTTTGGATCCACATTCTGGGTTCCACAGACAAACAACCAGCAGCAGAGATTTGTTGTCAAGCATTGCCTTGTGATTGCAGGCTGAAGTCCAGAGCCTAGCGGTCACGCCCACAGGCTTGAAACTGTAGGAGCTCAAGTTTGCAGATGAAATTTCTTAAGACAGGCTTCCATTTTCCCCCTATTTGTCTATAATTTCATGTGGTGTCATTGCATTCGTTCAAACAAAAAACCAAAACCGAACTCTGAGCATATTGTAGGCATTGTGTGTGTTAGATTCTGAGGTGGTCACTTTCTGTTTGAAGTTGGGTCCAACTACAATCTGGTGTAATTTATTTACTCTATAAAACCAGTTTATTTATATTCAAAAGTGAAATAAGAGTTAAATTTTAGTTGAAAAAGATTAGAATTTAAAATATATCTCTTTTTTTAGGGGGTGGGGAGAAGGGGGTGATCCTGGGATTTGAAATCAGGACCTGGGCTCTGTCCTTGAGATTTTTTTTCTCAAGGCTAGCACGCTTTAACCCTTGAGTCACAGCTCCACTTCTGGCTTTTTGGTGGTTAATTGGAGATTAAGAGTCTCACAAACTTTCCTGCCCTGATTGGCTTCAAACCTCAATCCTCAGATCTCCACTTCCTGAGTAGTTAGGATTACAGGCGTGAGCCACTGCACCTGACTATATCTCTCTTTTATAGTTGCAAGTGTTGTGGAATTACAATTCCCCCAGCTTTCCACAGACAGCTGACATGACTATATTTTAAGAAGACTTTCCACTTAGCCTGCCTCACAGTCTACTGTTTGGACCTGTTGCTTTCTACTTGACACAAGATTCATTTGGCTTCATTCCACTTTTGGCTTTTTGATGGCAGGAGATGAGTCTTATGAACTTTCCTGCCTAGGCTAGCTTTGATCCTCAGTTCTTAGCCTCTGTTTCTTAGTTGGTTCATTCATTGGTAAGAAATATTTCTGCAAGATCAAGAATAGTCCATGATCATTCAGTATGGTAGAAGCTATCAGTCTATACCTCAGTAATTAGGCCTATTTGCAACATGACTCTTAATCTGCAGCGGCAGTTTAAATTGTGAAATGCACTTACAGGTTAAAATATGGCCTATCTAAATGTTTTCTTCTATTGAAGGAGAAAGTTCTTATCATTGGAGAATTTGCCCTACAACATCTTTAAAGCTGACTCTATTGGGGAAGGAAAAGTGGAAAAAAAGGGATTTGAACTTTTTATTCAAGTGTTTAATTCTCCATACTTGCTTGGTTGTTGTTCGTGACCTCTCTAGCATCAGAGCATCATTCTTTGGACAACTACCACTACAACTAAATTGTTAAATGTGCAGGGATTCTGTGTTAGGTCACCTGGGCTTGAAGACATTTGGTACAAATATCGAACAGGAGAATTGATATGACAAAATAGCAAACTGGCTGGGTGCTGATGACTCATGCCAGTACTTCTAGCTATTCAGGAGGATCTGGCTTCAAAGCCAGCTTGGACAGGAAAGTCCATGAGACTCTTATCTCCAATTAACCAGCAGGAAGCTGGAAGTGGAGCTGTGGCTCAAGTGGTAGAGCACTAGCCTTGTGCAGAAAAAAATCCTCAGAGACAGTGCCCAGGCCCTGAGTTCAAGCCCCAGGACCAACACAAAAGAAGAAAAGCAGATTTATTACATTAGAAGAACTGTCACTGTCAGAAAGCACTCGTTAGTTTTTTATCAAGATTTAAATGGGAAAAGTGGGTATCATCCAAGCCCCAGTAAAACTAGGAGCATTAAGTTTCTCTTAGCAGTTTAGAAAGCACTATTTCTATCTTGCAATAGTCGACTTTAAAATCAGGGAGTCATAAATGGGTTCTGCTGTTTGATGAACACCCTGTTAAAGCAGCAAGAGTAGAGTTCCCTTCCTCTTTCCCAATTATAAGCCAACAGTGAGTTTGAGTTGTGTTATACTTGGAAATGCTAGGGTTAGAAAGCTATTCTCATACATCTGGAACTAATTTGGGATTCTTAGGATAAGATCTAGCCAAACAAAATATATCCTCCAGCTTTCCTTTTCTTTTCGTTTCTTTTTTGGTACCAGTACTAGGACTTGAACTCAGAGCCTGGTCACTGTTACTTAGCTTTTTTTTTCTCGTCTATTATTTGAGCCACAGCTCTCATTCTAGCTTTCTGCTGGCTAACTGGAGATAAAGAGTCTCTTGGACTTTTCTGCCTAGGCTGGCTTTGAACTTCAAAGCTTAGATCTCAGCCTCCTAATTACCTAGACTACAGGTGTGAGCCATCAGTACCTGGCTCCCTCCCACTCTTGAATGTGTGCATTTTACAAAACCAGTGAGTGACCCTCAGCAAAATGTATTTCCCTAGGTTCCATGTTTGATTTACATTACCCAGCCGATAGATGTGGGACACATTTCCACAGACTGCAAGAGTTTGCTTCCCTGCAGCTGCATCGGGCCTGGGTCTGCTGGGCAGAAGGAAGCACATGGCTGAGCAACTGAACCAAGCAGGTCAGCCATTTGACATCAACAGATGAAACTCTTTGGGCTACATTTTCTTCACTTAAATCAGTGTTACTGTCTATACATTTGCCACATTGTTTGGCATTTGGGTAGAGTGAGACTGTAAAAATGCTTTTTCCGTCCAGGTGCCAGTGGCTCATGCACTGGCTGAGATCTGAGGATTGTGGTTTGAAGCCAGTTGGGGCAGAAAGTCTGTGAGACTTTTATCTCCAAGTAACCACCAGAAAACCAGAAGTGACACTGAGGTTCAAAGTGGTATATCTCTAGCCTTGAATGGAAAAAGCTCTGAGACAGAGCCCAGGGCCTGAGTTATGACTGCCAAAAAATACGTAAGTAAAATAAAAAAAAAGATTTTCCAACTGCAAATGACTAAATTTAGGGTGACATTTGGGGTTAATTTCAGTAGTACCTGATACTTTATCAAATATTGTTACATGAATCTTGTCACAGTCACTTGGGAGAAAAATAATGCCTAACTCAGAGGGCTGTAAGGATTAAAGAAAGTTAAGACTCTTACAAACAAAGGTGGTAAAACAAAGGTTAGCTTTATTGCTCATTGACTACATAGAAAGCACGATTCATTTTGTGTCATTTATTTCCTTGGCAACCCAGGGAATACCAGATCAAATTCTAAACTTGAAGATTTTTCTGTAACACCCAACACACTGACTTATACTAAAGGGAAAACTAATACCTTGGGCCCATTTCTGTTTTGTTGTTTTATTAGTGCCAGTCCTGGGGTTTGAACTCCAGCCTGGGTCCTGTCCCTGAGCTTTTGTGGTCAAGGCTAGCACTCAGTCACTTGAGCCACAGCTCCATTTCCAGCCTTTTTTGGGAAGTTAGAGATAACAGTCTCATATACTTTCTTGTCTGAGATGCCTTCAAACTGAGATCTTTAGATCTCAACCTCCTCTGAGTAGGATTATAGGCATGAGCCTCTGGCATTGGCACCCAGCCTTGGGCTCATTTCTGTATGAATCAGTGCTACTTTTGTGAAGTATTAGATATCTGCTGTTAAATATCAGAAATTAATTCTACACAGCAACTCAACATTTCCTTGAACATTGACTTTGTGGGAGGGAGGCTAGGAAGAGGAAAGTCACCATGTTTTTGATGAAAAGCAGCCAATCATGTAAAGCAATTAACACTCTTGACGTTGCTTTGCTTTTGTGTCTAATCCACGCGTTTGAAGTCATGTTGTCTTGGCCAAACACTCAGGTTGGCATGTTTTGCTCTCTTGAGTTCTTTTGGAAAGTACATCTTTTCCCACATCTTGTCCCAGACTTGCAGAATGTCTTTCTGGCCTCCTCTCCAAATGTAAAAACTCAAGGGTATACTTCTCAGCTTCTCAAACAAGATTGGTACCCTGAGATAGACAGTGGCTCAGAGACAGATGTGACTGTGCTCCTGGCACGTGGTGCTCACACCAGCCATGGTCAGGTACAGCTTCCCATCTGGACATGCGCAGACCTCATACAGTTCCTGTGAGCTGCCAGAGGGGCCCCAGGTCCCCTGCCCCAGCTTGGGTAAGCACAGGGTTTCCGAATCAATCACAAGCTGTTTGGGGAAAGCGAGAGATGAACTGTTGAAGGAGGAAGGAACCAGAACCAATGAGAAATTCGTATCTTAAAATGTTTCACTAATGGGGCACAAGTGACACAAGCCTAGAATCCCAGCTCCTCAGGAAGCTGAGATCTGAGCATCCTGATACAAATTCAAGAGAATTTCCATCTCCAATTAATCAGCAAAGAAAAGCTGGAAGTGGAGGTGTGGCTCAAGTGGTAGAACACCAGCCTTGAGCAAAAAAGCTAAATGATGTGAGGCCCTGAGTTCAAGTACTGGCAAATAAATAAAAAAGATGCTTCACCAAATCAGATCCTTACTTTAAGAAAATCTCTGTTCAATAAACTGAATTGATGTTCAGTTTTATGATGCTGTGCTCTTAATGCATTTTGAATAATTTCACAAAAATAATCTTTTGCCATTGCACATTTATCTTGATACATTAAATCATCTAAATCATCTCATTAAGATGACATAATCTGAAGAAATAGATTTATCATACTTTTTACCTGTAAATATTGAAATGTATCCTGATTTTATTTATAATTTGTTTTCCTAGAAGAGGCAACTAAATTCACCTTATTATCATCAACCATTTCCCTAATGTTTTAATATTATTTGGAACCCCTCATACTCTACTAGATACTGAAAGCATCAGGCACCAAGACAAATCATATATTATTTTACTTATTTTTGAGCTGGTATTGGGGCTTGAACTCAGGGTCTCACACTCTTGTTTAGCTCCACTGCCAGCTTTTTCTTTTTTTCTTTTTTTTTCTGTTTAATTGGAGGTAAGAGTGTCCTGGATTTATCCACTCTAAAGAGCTTTCAGCCTCAGCCTCCTGACTAGCTAGGATTATAGGTATGGACCACCTGGCTAAGCCAATTTAAATACAATGAAAGTGACTCATTTTCTGAGCATACAAATGAACTAAAGGGAAATGTAAATCACGGAAGGAAACTTAGAGACTTTTTTGTTAATCCTCATACTAAGCCTCTAATCCTTAGCCACACTCACTTGTTAAAGGAACTAAAATCAGTGTGGGTAGACATCATTTTCTTCCTTGTGAACAAGGTTAGAGTCCCTCCCCCACCAACCTTTAATTTCTATGGCTCTCATTCAGGAATTCCTGTCCTTTAAAAAAAAAAAAAAAACAGCTATGTTTCCTTAGTTATACAGAGGAGAAGTTCATTGTTACATTTCCAGGGAATTCTGGTCTATTGATGAGCAGTAGAATTCTGTCCACTGAATTCTATAGAATTCCAGTCTAACTGCTCCTGCTGTCCCTGCCTGTCAAGTGCAAGCGGGAAGCCATAGCAGCATGCTGGGCAGAGCTTGCCCTGTGGGAGGGATGTAGACACAGAGAATACAAAATCCAGTGAGTATCATTTAAAATGTGGAATGTCAGCCAGGTGTCAGTGGCTCACACCTGTAATCGCAGCTACTCACGAGGCTGAGATCTGAGGATTGCTGGTTCAAAGCCAGCCTGGGCACTTAAGTCCATGAGACTCTTATCTCCAATAAACCACTCAGAAAACTGGAAGTGGTGCTGTGGCTCAAGTGGTAGAGAGCTCGCCTTGAGCTGGAGAGCTGAGGGACAGTGGCATTGCCTACTTACAGCTCTGGCTTTTAACTTGTTGGTCTGTGCCCTATCCTTGTTTGTGATTGGTCTTTTTTTTCTGGCTGCCAATTCTTAGTGTGTGTGTGCATGCGTGCTTGTGTGCGTGCGTGTGTGTGTGTGTGTGTGTGTGTGTGTGTGTGTGTGTGTGTGTGTGTGTGTGTACCTGTGGCCTTGTGACCTTGCTCAAATAGCTGGTGCTCTACCACTTGAGCTATAGCTTCACTTCTGGCTTTTCTGGTAGTAAATTGGAGATAAATATCTTATAGACTTTGCTGTCCAGGCTGGCTTCAAACTGTGAGCCTCAGATCTCAATCTCCTGATTAGCTAGGATTATAGGGATGAGCCACCAGCCTCTGGATTTGCTGATTCTTTTCCTTTCCAATTGGCCACTGGCAGCTGCATTTTCATTTGCCTTTCTGGGACAATATTTGGAGTTTAGACATCTATCTATTGACATTTTGAACAAATAGTTCCTAGGGATAAGGAATATCAGCTTTTAATTATGGAGCTGGCTGTGTGCTACTTGTAAAGATGTTGCAGAAATAAGTAAAACTGTTTCAAAATTAAGAGCAGCTTAAATTTTTGAAAGTCAATTCATTTTTAAGTGTGTAGTGACATAACTTAGTGATGTTCCACAAGGCTGATTTCCATTTCTACCTTTATTTGCTCCTGACATCGTAGCCTGGTGGGTTAAGTTTGCAGTCTTCTCCAGGTGCAGCTAAGCCCTACATCCATGGCACTGTGCTTTCAGAGAGGGGTCAGAAGACCCAGATTTGACCCTCTCCTTTCCCTTTCTTTTCCTTCCCTTTACACTTTTGTTTTGCTTGCTTGGCTGCCTGCCTGCTTTCCTTCCTTCCTTCCTTCCTTCCTTCCTTCCTTCCTTCCTTCCTTCCTTCCTTCCTTCCTTCCTTCCTTCCTTCCTTCCTTCCTTCCTTCCTTCCTTCTTCCCTTCCTTCTTCCCTCCCTCTCCCCTCCCTCCCTCCCTCTCCCCTCCCTCCCTCCCTCCCTCCCTCCCTCCCTCCCCCCTCCCTCCCTCCCTCCCTCCCTCCCTCCCTCCCTCCCTCCTTCCTTCCTTCCTTCCTTCCTTCCTTCCTTCCTTCCTTCCTTCCTTCCTTCCTTCCTTCCTTCCTTCCTTCCTTCCTTCCTTCCTTCTTCTTCTTCCTTTCTAACCCAGGACCTTATGCTCTCCTTTGGCTTTTTTTTCACTTAAGGCCAGTGCTCTCTCACTTCAGCTACATCTCAATTTCTGAGGTTTTACTAGTAAACTGGAGGTAGAGCCTCTCAGTATGTCTATCCAGGCTGGCTTCAAGCCACATCTTCATATCTCAGTTTCTCTAGTAGCTAGGATTACAAGTGTGAGCCATCAGTGCCCAGAATACTTTATCCTTAGTGTTTTTGACCCTAAAAAAGTGTTCTTGTACCAGCCTGAAATCCTAGCTACTTGGGAGGTGGAGATGGAGGCTTGTGGTTCATGACTTAACTCGAGACAGAAAAGTTTCAGACTATTTCAACCAATGTCTGGGTGTGTATTTTCCAGTTATGGAGTCAAATACAATGGTAGGGCACAGTGGTATATACCTGTCACCCACCAGAACCCAAAGAAGCACAAGTAGGAGGATCGCAGTTAAGATTTCAACTCTGGCTGCCTGAGTGTTAAGTGTGAGTCTACTTGAAATCACCGAGGCAAAAAGGGGGTGGAGGAGTGGTTCAAATGCCAGAGCACATGCCTAACAAGCATGAGGTCCTGATTCCAAACTCCAGTACTGCAAAAACAAACAAAAATGATGGTCCTGTTTTCCATCTCTCATTTTTACTTAAACTGTAAGGCACATTGCTCTGGGCAATAGCATTATACTGTTGTCATCGCCAGGTGACTCTGGTGACAGCCATTATGAAAGAAGTTAGACACTATGAAAAGGCAAAATTGACATGCTCTGTAAGTGCTGAAAATCTGTGGTTATTTTTCAAAGTTGACAATAAAAAGTGGGTTTTTGTTGTTCTTTTGTTTTGTACTAATACTTAACTTGAACTCAAGACTTCACAGTCTTCTTTGGCTTTTTCTGCTCAATACTGGGGCTCTACTACTTGAATCACACCTCCATTTCTAGCTTTTTGGTGGTTAATTAGAGATAAGAGTCTGATGGGATTTCCTGCCTGAGTTGTCTTCAAATGGTGATCCTCAGATCTCAACTTTCTGAATAGCTAGTCTTACAGTTGTGAGCCACTAGTACCTGGCTAAGAAGTGGTTTGGTTGCACAAATATCAGTCATGAAAGGTGAACAGCTCTAATATATAATTGTTCTAACATTTCTTTCAGTGCTGGAGTGTTGTGTGCTTCCCTTTCACACATCTTACCATAAACCCTTTGTAATGTCTCATTACAAATGACTGTAATATTCATGATGTGATTGTGAAAGAAATGTCATCAGGAAACACTTCAGGACTTGCATTCATTCTACTCACCATTCCTTCACTACTCTGCAAAAGGATGTCCATTTGAGAAAGAGCCTCAATTTTCCCAGCGTGAGCTTTTATATTAATCCCTTTTGGGGCATCCATGCTCAGACTCCGTGTGGGAGATTCTAGCCTGAAAAGGTGACAAACAAATGAACAAGAAAAGTATGGTTTGAAAGTCAATTCCTGTGCCAGGCACAGTGGCACAGGCTTGTGATCCCAAAGACTGAATCTGGAAGATCTCTCAAGCCCAGAGGTTTACAGGTCAGTCTGGGCAACACAGTGAAGAAAACAGACACCCGATCAACTCTCTACCCATAACCTGGCATTGAAGAGATAATGGACAAGAGATATGCAGTCTTTATGGTTCTCAACATATTCACATACTATGCACTGTTCATTGATAAATCCAGATATAACAGGAAGCCAAGAAATACGTGGAAGCATGGCTCAGGTGGTAGAGTGTCAGCCAATTAACAAAGTGGCAGACACTGACTTCAAGACAATAAAAAAGAAAAATACATATTCTACCTCTACCAACAATAGGAGATTATTTCTTCTACAACTGTGCAGTTCAGATGGCAGGGCTTAACCTTAGCAAACCACCCACAAAACAAATGCCATTGTGAGTAACTGTGAAATGATAACAGTATTAAGTTGATACACCATCTTATTTAATTGGGAAAAAAGCAGATTGAAGGACAATATGCTCCATGTTTATGAGACAGAATAAAATGCTTGGACAAGTTTTGGCTTTTAGCTTAGAAAGTGGACAGGATAGATGGAAAGATTTATTTTGGAAAGAAAGTGGGGAAGAAGGAGGGAAAGAAAAAAAGGGCAGGATAGAAAAGGAGGAAGAGAAGGACTGATCAGGTATGGCAATATTAATAGAAGACAAGATAAGGAGGAAGAAATGTCATTACTTAATGACTACAGGAACAACTTGCAGGAAGATTAAGTAAACATGGTTGTATGCACCTGAAAATTAAAACTAAAAGAGTAATGATACCAATATTATAGAGGAAGTTTTAACAAACTCTTCATGAAACTTATATAAAAAAGAAAGATAGCAATTACACAGATGATATTAGTCATGTAATTGTTAACACTGGCCTAGGAGCCACACACACATACACACACACACACACACACACACACACACACACACACACACATTATAGAAAATGGACTTTATTCATAAAATGTAATGAGTGGGCTGGGAAGGTGGCTCAGTGGTAGAGTGCTTGCTTTGCATGCATGAGGCCCTGGATTTGATTCCTCAGCACTAATAAGCAGAAAAAGCCGGAAATGGCTCTATGGCTCAAGTGGTAGAGCGCTAGCCTTGAGCTGAAGAGCTGAGGGACAGCATCCAGGCCCACAGTGCAGACCCCATGACTGAAAAAAAAAAGTGATTTCATGCCAATGATTTTGAAGTCTTAGGTGATTAGCCAAGCAAGAAATAATCAAAATGGAACATTTATTTATTATTGCGGGTACTAGGATTTGAACTCAGGCTTCCTACTTGGCTTTTTACTCAAGGATGATGGAAGAGGGCATAGAAGAACATAATCTAAGCCCTAAAAGGTAACAATTGTTCACTTAGAATAGAGTATCTTGCAAACCTATCCTTTATAATTTAGTGAAAAATAAAAATCTTCTACAATAAACTAAACCCATAGGAATTCAACACTACAGGAGCCAAGACTACAGAACATATTAAAAGAATTTTATACACAAGATGAAGACAAAACGAGAAAAATAATGGATAACAAACATCACTAGATGAGTAGATTATCATAGGAGGAATAGGAAATGACAGGAAGTATGAAATATGTCAATATCAACAATAAATGTTCTCAAATATCCAAACACTATACTATGTCAAGTTGGATTAGAAGGCCAGACCTATTTGTTGTCTGCAAAACCACATCTCATAAAGACCAATATAGGCTTAGGATAAAAGAAAGAAAAAATATTTGCAAAGTGTAACTATAGTTTTATCTGGTAAAATAGACTTTAAGAGACAAGATCACTCTATTAATAAGGGAACAATCCATGAGCTGAAATTACAGTTGTCAGTATATACACAGCAAATGTTGGAACACCCAAGTTTCTTAAACAAATACTTGTGAACTTACAAGCTTGAGTAGACCTAAACACAATGATTGTAGGAGACTTCAATAGTCCACTCCTATCAATAAATAGAAACTGCATAAAAGAAATCAACAATAAGCCTAAGAACTAAATGACATCACACACTTGGACCACACATATGGACTTGACAGATATCTATACAATATTTCATCCAGCAGCTGAACCATACACTATATTCTAAGCAGCCCATGGATCTTTGTAAAAATAGATCATATTTTAGGACATGAAGAAAAATCTTAGTAAATGCAAAATAGTTAACTTTCTGAACTAAAAAAAATGTTACTATAAAGGTGATATACAGAGTGGTTATAGTTACATGTAAGTCAGGTGAAGAGTACATTTCTTTTTAGATAATGTCACCCCTTCCCTTGATCTCTCCCAGTTTTCCCTCCCATCCCCACATTTTCCTGTATTCTATCTGATCATATGGAATTGTAGTAGAACTCAACAGCAAATGAAGCCACAGAATATATTCAAACACATGGAGACTGAACACATTGCTGAGTGACAAGTGGGTCACTCAAGAAATGAAGGGGAAGTGAAAAGGTACTAGAATTTAACAAAAATGAAAGCACAAATGTACCAGAAATCTTTGGGACATAGCAAAAGTTGTGCTAAGAAACCTACATAAAAATAGATTTCAAATTAATAGCAACATAAAAACAAGTGCCTAGAAAAAGAACAAGCCTAACTCTAAGTTAGCAAACAAAACAAATAATGAAGATGAGAGAAGACATGAATGAAAGTTAAAAAATTGCCCAAAGAATCAGTGGAACCAACAAGTTGGTTCTTTTCAAAGGAAAAGATAAATTTGATTGATAATCCCCTCACTAATCTGAAGAGGGAAAAGAGTGAATAAAATCATAGGTGAAAAAAAGGAAACCACAGAAAATACTAATAAAATCCCAAGGCTTGTCAGGGAATATTTTGAAAACATATTCAAATTAACTAGAAAATATAGAAGAAATGAATACATTTCTACATGGATTTGACCAAAAATGGAATCTAGAGGATATATATCAAACAGACCTAGAACAAACAATGAGACTGAAGTTAATAGCTATCTCAATAGAGAAAAATCCCAGGACCCAACAGCTGAGTTATATTTACTCCTCAGATTTTTCCATAGGATAGAAAGGGAGGAACTGCTATTCAAATTTATTCTCCAAAGTCAGTATTTATACTTGTTCCAAAACCATCCAAGGACACAACAATAGGAATCTACATAGATCATTCTATCATAGACACAACTTTAGTCAACGAAACCCTTGCAAGCCAAATTCAGCAACAAAATGAAAAGATCTATGGATGAGAAGAGACCCTGGCAGCCATGTCTGGGAAGGAGGAGGAGGGAGAGGTTCACCAGAGGCAGCCCAAACCATGGGGGCCTTAAGTACTCACTGGGGACACTGGGTTTTCCTTATGGTTGGTTTAGAACCAAGCAAACATGTTATACAGATTGCTTCTAGCAAAATTAGTCTGGCACTGATTTTGACGACAGACTGGAAAGGAGCAAGAAGGTTTTTGGAATAATACAAACCCTGGACAGAAACAGAACACACAAAGAGTCTAACAAGTTCTAGAATCAGTTGGAACTTTGACTTACATTGGATTTGAATAAATAACTTGTTACATGCAAAAAGTCATGAAAAATCATAAGACAAGTGCAACAAGAAACTATCTGATTGCAACGATTACAGTATCATCTCAGCACATATCCAGCTGCCTTCCCAAACAAAGTTGGTTTGCCTTGGGACAATAATTCTTACCTAAGATCTGGAAATGGATGAGCTCTGACAAGGGGAGTCTCCACTGAGTGTTCAAAAAGAGCCCCCTCAGGTCCTACACAAAAACCAAAGAGGTATCAGGAACACATTTAGAATAAGTTGCATTAAACAAATCAAGCATTCAGTCTATACAGCATGAGTCCAATGCAAAACTCCAAAATGGTCCAAAACCCTGGAACTGTTTGAGATTTGGCATGACCCAGCAGGGGAAATTCCAGAGTTGACCTCAGGTAACAGGTTGCAATCAAAGCATTGCATACTAAAGATAATGGATGAAGTTACCACTAGGTTATGTGTACAAGATAGATACAAATAGGATGAACTTACTTAGATCTTGATCCCATCGCTAAATATCTCAATATAGCAGTGCAGACACCCCCAAATTCCCACAAACTCAAAGCCTCAATTCTGGTCTCAAATCATTTGGAGAAGGGAGATGCAGTCTATAGATTTTACTCTTGGTTGCCAAATTTGTGCAGATGTTTAAATTTCAGGGGGAAAAATAGGTGCAACTATTTCCTTCATTTTCTGAGACTATAAAGTCCTATCAACCAAATGTGTTATGGGGTGTTTTGGGTGTTTTTTTTTCTTTTTTAAAATCTGGTACTTTTTTATTCTCTAACTTTAAATCGTTGTACAAAGGGTTTTCAGCTTATCATGTCAGTTTATGAATGCAATCCATCTTGATCAATCTCACCCCTTCAAAATGTGCTTTCAAAGTGAATTCAAATAAAGTTTATTTTAAATTAGACAAGAACACTTGCTATCAAACTGAAAAAAGAAATACACCTATTGAAAGTTTCATAGGTCTACAAATTTTCAGTAAGTTGTATAATTATCTATTTTATGGTGTGTGTGTGTGTGTGTGTGTGTGTGTGTGTGTGTGTGTGTGTGAGAGAGAGAGAGAGAGAGAGAGAGAGAGAGAGAAAGACAGAGATGTGTTTTGTGCTACTTGTTTCTAAGGTTTATCAGGAAAAAATATTAAAAATCTATACATCTAAAAACCTTCAAATTTCTAGCAATCAAACATACTGATTGCTGTTCATTAGCCTGAGAACTCGATTGCATGTAAGGCTCTCTATCAATTGGTAGTTAAGTGGAAGTAAGAGGTTCATGGACTTCTCTGCTTGGGTTGGCGTTGAACAACGATCCTCAGATCTCAGCCTCCTGAATAGTTAGAATGATAGACATGACCCACTGGTATCTGGCATGACTTATTTTTTAATATGAACCCAGAACTTCCATTGTAGATCTAGGCATTGAAAAAATAAATAGGCTGGGTGAAAGTTTCCTAAACACTAGGTTGAGAGACCACCTCCTTGGTAGAAAGTCTTGTCCCAAGCCCTCACTGATTTAACCACTTACAATCTTTCCATAGTCTCCACAAAATTAATTGTTAGCTTTGTTATTACAACTACTGCTTCCTGAGTTCTAAGAAGACATGAAAACCCTGTACTGAAAGGCTTCAAGATACCATAGCTTGTATCATGCAAATAAGAATTTAAATCAGCACAAAATGGAACAACCATGATTGACACAAACACTATCATAAACTGCAGCTCCCAGGAACATATAAGTAAAAGTTAATGGTTCCTGAAATTGATATTATAATCTATGCAAATTATATTCAAATATGAAACATCCTCATGCTTCTGATGAGTTACATCTTTTTAAAATACCACTTATCCAAGCCTAAATGATGATAGAGACCATTATGTAAAGTGAGGCTACACTAAACACCAGACTTTCTATGATAAATTGGGCCAATCCTATTTTATAGTACAATGTTTTGTTTGTTTAAAGTATGGACAATATTTTCTTTGGTCCAGGACAGGAAGTAATTTAACACAGTGTTCTTCATTATATTCATATCTATTTTATTATTTTCTTTTCTCCTTGCTTCTTCTGATTTGCAAAATGTAAAAGAAAATGTAATGGGTGCCAGTGGCTCACATCTGTAATCCTAGCTCAGAGGGCTGAGATCTGAGGATGTGGTTCAAAGACAAGAAAAAGTCTGTGAGATTCTTATCTCTCATTATCCATCAAAGTACTGGAAGTGGAGCTGTGGTTCTAGTGGTAGAACACTAGCCTTGAGCAAAATAGATAAAGGACATGGTCCAGGTCATGAGTTGAAGCCCCAGCACAAAATGAAGAAAGAAAGAAAGAAAAAAGAAAGAGAAAAATAAGGGGTTAGGTGCTTGCTGGTGGCTCAGGCCAGTAATCCTAGCTACTTGGAGGCTGTGATCTGGAGGATCTAGGTTGAAACTAGTCTGGGAAGAAAGTTAGAAATCAGCAGTGAATCAGCAAAAAGCAAGGCTGGAAGCATGGCTCAAGTAGTAGAGAACCAAGCTCATATGGTTTCATGCAGTAAGTAGATTGATTGTGGCATATATAGCATCATCTGAGTGGCCAAGGATGATCTCTGTAAATACAGATGGTCCCTAGCTTGGCATGACTCCACTTACAAGTCTCCAACTTCATGATGACATAAAAGCAATATACATTCAGGACTTCATTGTTGTTTTTCCTGGGCTAGTGATCCATGCACGGTATTTTCCTGTGGTGTTGGGGATGTCTGTACATCCCAGGCAGCTGGAATCACAGAGTTGCCCTGTGTAACATGGGTTTTGTGTCAGATGAATGAGTCCTAGAGGCCAATGGCAGTGTCCTCAGCACAGGTTGCAGGCTAAGAGAAGCTAGGTATTTGGTAGGGTTAATGGATTAAGCATACTCTTAATTTGCACAATTTCTATGATGACTTTGCCAAGATGTCATTCTACTATGAGGCAAGTGGCATCTGTAGTTAAAAAGTATCAATCTTAAGCTGGCACTGGTGGTTCATGCCTGTAATGCTAGCCACACAGGAGGCTGAGATCTGAGGATCATGCAGCCAGACTGGGCAAGAAAGTCTGTGAGACTCTTATCTCCAATAAACTATTCAGAAAAAGCCAGAAGTGGTGCTGTGGCTTAAGTGATAGACCACTAGCCTTGAGCACAAAGAGGGTCAGGGACCCAGGCCTTGAGTTCAAGACCCATAACTGGCGCAAAAAAAATAGTATTCTTTCCATAACTGAGTAATAGAAAAACAAAAGAAAGTAGGTGAAAAACATTAGTTTATCTGGGTTTATGTAAGTAATATGACACAATGCCTGCAAATAAAATATATGCAATGTATTATACTTGCATAGGTTAATCTACCTGACTATCCCTCTATCCCTCCACCCATTCATGCATGCATCCATTCATCCATCACCCACCCACCCATCCATCCATCCATCCATCTGTGGTGCTAGTCTTAGAGCCTCTTAAGTGTGTTTAGGCAAGCCTCTACTAATGAGCTCCATTCCCAGCCTCACATAGGCAATTCTGATTTCATTATGGCTATAGAAATTAATAACAGTGCCAGTGACACTATTT